TACAATGTATTTTTGGCTATTGCTACAAATATCCCCCAGCGACTTAAGACTGCTTTTGTGCTCCAGGGTCACATTTGTGGTAATACACAGCAACAACCCCTTAACTGAAATAATGTTAATATGCCAAATTACTAAATTTATTTTTTATTTACCTTCATAATATACCAACAATCACCTTAAACTAACTTCTAAGGAGGAACATACTTTCTGTTGTTCAAAAACATAGACTAGAATGGACCAGAATATCTGTTAACAGTTTATTTTAATGACCTATTCTTGCTATTAACTACATTAGTTGTTTATTAGCATGCACATTACTAGCATATTGGCGGTTTACTAGTATTTATAAACCAAATATGAATGCCTTATTCTGACCATATTTTAGATCCCATTTCTAAACGTAACAACTACCGTACTAACTATTTATAAGCAGCACAATAGGAGTTTGACGGAAAAGTCGTGGTTAACAGTGAATATGTATTCCCTATTCTAAACTGTTAGTGGATGTTTTTTTTTAAGTTGAACAGTTCATGGCATTAAACTCTGAAACAATAGTCAAACGCGTCCATTTTATGCATGTTTACACAGATTACTTGGAGTTTGATGTTAGCATGCTGCTTTATTAAAAATGTATCTGTAATGAGATCTTAATGACACTTTCGATATTGATACAGAATAATGTTACTTCATTCAGTATATGCTACATTTCAAAACCGCCTGTGCATCTGATGATAATAAAGTCTCAAAATTCTGTACATTTGCATGGCTCACAAGAGTTTAGAACAAAGTTTGTTTGCGAAAAGTTAGCTCTTGTGTCTCCCTGCTCTTTTTTTTTTACATTTTCACATAAATCTAAAGTTTTGTCTCTGGGGCTCCGAAATACCTTGCTGGTGTCAGACTCGACTCTGATCTTAAAATGCTCCAGCACCGTTGTGAATTTCTTTTGTTTAGAGTCTACCATTAGCAGAAACTCAAGACAAACAGAGCCTCTTGTGCTCATTAAGGAATGGAAGAGCAGCCGTTACACTGACCCGCTCTCACCCGGAACTCATTAATAACCACTGACGCTTCCGTAAGCCGGAGCTGCTGCTCTTCTTATCTGACAACTCGCCATATTTAAGACTTAGAAGACTGGCCACGGGAAAGTTAATTATCTCTGAAGGAAAGGAAAAGACCAGGAGAATCTGGATACTAATTGGATATATCTGTATATAACTGAAATCAAAATATTCCTTGAAATTATCCCATTAAATAGTGCAACATTCTGTGTAAATGTTAATAGTGGTGCATGTGGACAGTTCTTGTGACAAACGACGTACATTTTTATCATTACATTCAAACATTCAAAAATATGAATTTTTTTAAAATTTTTAATTGCAGACACCAGTATATTTCAATTAGAATGTTATGCAGAATTATGAAGAATTCTTCCTGCTGTCTTCTGTACTGATATTGATCCGTTCAAGGCAGACTGAGAAAATGTGCTAAATTGGCTGGGAAAATATCTATACAGAAACACTCTGGGCAAAGTGTGATATGTCAACTGACAATAAACAAATTGATTTAAAAACTGATATTTCAGCAGGATGGTTTTCCTACAGTGCTATAAATATGATCCATTATTGTGTTCTAGAAAAAAAAAACACTGCATTTATAATAAAGCATTGTTATTAAAAAACAATTGGTCATAATTGTTTTGTTAGCTCTCAAATATCTAATTTTAACCCAAAAAATTTTTTTTGTCAAATACCTTTATCAATTGGAAATACATCTGGACTCATAAAGAAAACTTGCATTTGAGTAACTAGGCTTTTGACTCAAAACCTTAGTTACTGAAAAACAACCCTTGTGACAATTTCCCTGTGGCACAATATCTGACATGTCAGTGAAGCTTCTTTTTCTGAAACTAAAAAGAGATAGAGAGGGAGAGAGAGAATCAGAGAAATCAGTCTTTATCTTTGTGAGCTCTTTGATGTAAAGACAGCACTCGTATTATTTACTGTTATTACTGCTGACAGTAGCTTCTTCTTTAAAAATCTTTGAGTCAGTTTCAGTGGTTTTAAAGGAAAGTGTCTAAGCACAGATCAATAATCTATTTATCCTTGAGTGATGGGAGGAGCTGCTCATTGTTCCATGTGTAGTGGAATGGAAAATGTATTTTGATTTGTGACACAAGTGTGTGTGACACACACACACACGCTCAACAGAAAAACAGCTTTAGAGTGTAAATACGCTGTTACTGCCTTGATAAATCAGAATGATGTATGTACAATATAATTTCTGCCTTCACAAGACATACTAGCAAATGACTCCCTTCTAGAATACATTACTTCGGCTGACTGTCTCACTTAGGTACGATCTAAAGAGCTTTTCTGTTTGGAGAAAGTGTTGAGAATTTTCAATGTGCATCTACATCCTCCCAAGGCCTCAGTAAATCAGACTGTCAACACAAATCAAATTAGGCAGGTATAGACTACAGCGATATGCCAGGCAGGTGGCTGGTCATCTATCTCCTTTGATGGGTAAATTACATTTGACATCCCCACAAGCTATAAATAGATACACACACATACAACAAGGTGTTTGATCTTGACAAAATAAATATTATAGCAATTTGACGACAGACAGTAAACCATGCTTTTTCTGCTTGACTCAAAGGTTTGGGGCATTGCTGTGTTTGCTTTGTTGTGTAACCAGAAACCATAATTTGCTGTGCTGTGTGCAAAGAGGGGGGATGCAATTGAACTCGCAGATGTTCAGTTGCATTTGAAATAGTCCATGTATGTGTATATGTGAGTGTGGCCTTCATTAATACTGTACTGTTGAAACTTAGTGCTGTATTTGCATTGGATAAAAGATTCTACATCTGCTGTGTTGTGTAGGCTATTACATTTAGGGGAGAGTGGGGTAAGTTGAGCCAGCGGGTAAGCTGACCTCTCCTCCTGTATCTTGCCAACTGTACACTTTTATTGTCATGAGACCAAATATTTTGAAACCACCCATAATTTCTGCCAGACTGTGAAAAGAAAAAACACACGGGAGGAGTAGAAGGCACCCAATTACTTTAATAACAGTTTTTGGCTTGTCAAAGTAAAATTTTTGCATAACATATGTAATGGCTGTTACATCAAAGTAAATTTATCCAGGTCTAAAAATATTTATGATGCATATAAGTGATTTAGCAATGTATAAAACCATGTAAATCATTTAGCTAAATATTAGCCTGAATTAGTAAGCAAGCTAGTTTTTTTCCCAAAATGGTAGCTATGGGGCAAAGTGAGCCAAATGCTGTGGGGTAAATTGAGCCAGCATTTTATCTTACCCTACCATAAGGCACTGACGTTAAATTAAATCTATAAACTGGTAGTTTAATGTGATAGTACACAACTGATTTAGTTTATCATATATACATATTATTATTTGTAGTTTATTTGATAGGGACAGTATACAAGTGCACCAAATCCATATCTGATAAGAACCAGAAGATGCTTTTCATCATAATCAGATATATCTTTCCACATGCAGTCCCTAATGGCCTGTTCAACATTGCAGAAAAGCTACCATGCTGAGAATCTTTTGACTAAATTGTTCATTAGTTTCAGTGACATTTATTCCTTCATTCTAATTCAGTTTTTTTATTTTAATTTTACTCAACAAACTCTCTGTTTAGTCTGTTTGGTGTTGTAATCTTGCATTGTTTCAGAAATGCAAACAATTAAATATTGACATTTTAATTTGGTTGGTTTTATGTTGTTTACATTAGCTTTAAGAAAAGCAATAAGACTGTTTGAAAAAGGAAATTTGATTATTAAATTAGTTTATAAAAGAGGTCAATTATCTTTCACATTTAACATGGGTTTGAACCAGATTCAGTCAGATGGTCAGTTTACAACCAGATGCTTCATCTTACTCATTGACTCGGGTCAACTTACCCCCAGTGAGGCAAAGGAACACTTTTGTATAAGAAGCCATATTTTTAGAACCCTTTGTCGTAGATACATTCTGATCATTTAAAATGACAGGAAACATCCTGAAGTTACTTTAGATACTTTGATTGTACCTCTGCGTCATTTCCCCTTATCTTGAGGACCACATAAGTAGAAAGTGGCTCATCTTACCCCACTCTCCCCTACTCACTGAATAACCCATAAAACAGCATTCACAACTTATTGTACATCAATTATTACCCTTATTTTGGAGAGAAAGTGAATATGAGACTTAACGTTATTAATCAGGATCTGACTGCCTTATATGAAGCAATCTATAATGTGCACTGATGAATTACACATAAAGGTCAGGCACATATGTATTAAGAAAGGGTCTATTTTGAATTCATGTTGACTCTAAGTTGGTAATTATTGTTTATTGCACAACACCATGCATATGTAGATTGTAGCGTATTGTATTGTGTACAGTGTTGTGTATTGCATTATGCATACTGTACTACCGTATATGGTACATTGATTGTTTGCAATATCGTGAATTACTGTGAAGTCAGATTCCTTGTAAGTGTAACTTCCTCAGCCAATAAACGTGAATTGTGATTGTGAAGTTCCTCCCTCCCCTGGTGAATGATACACACCTCCGTATCCTGCGAGGAGCTTCAGAGCTCAGCGCTCCGGAGAACCGAAGAGACAAAGAGCTGCCTCGCACACTCACTCTGAGGGGCTGAAGGACACGACCTGGCCGTCCCTGCGAACGTTTGGCCATTTTTGTCGCATGCTCTTGAAACGAGCTCGATAACGCTGGAACAAGCGAGCTTTGGGTTTAGGAAGGACACATGCTGTAAATCTGTCTGCCCCGAGGCGCGTCCGGATGAACTGATAACCATCAGCTCGGCTTTAACACACAGGCTCCGAGCAACGTAATCTAGTTAAGTTGCATACGTTCTGCAGCTGAGCAGACAAGAGGTGGAGAACCCCCTTCCAGGTGTTGAGAAAGCATCTAGTTTGTGTACCCATCAGCTGCTGCGCAAACCGCTGGACGGAAGGATTCGCTCATCTGTGTTTGGACTGTTCATCTGAGATGAGACTGACGGAAATCATCCACAACTTTGAGCTGGGGTTTGTGAAACTCAGATGAACAGATGAGTGAAGACCGAGCTGATGGACAGCGCCTGTGGAGAGTTTCCTGCATCTCTGCGTTCAGAGCCAACGAGCAAACATGTATCCTTACACCGTTTCAGAAAATAAACAATCGACTGTTTCCCTTTAAACTTCGCTTCGGTCTGAAACGCTTCGCAGGTAACGAGAAGAGAGGAACAATCCCTGTACGGTGAAAATCGGTAAGATTATTGTCTTCTCTTCTTATTCTTCATATTTGAATTAGACCGGGGCTATCCTCACAATTTGTGCTGGCTATTTCTCAGGGTACTGTAGGTTGAGTTTTGAAAGTCAATATATGTTGACGATAACACTTTAGTACAGGGACCAGTTCTCACTTTCAAGTAGTTGGTTAAAGCATGCCTATTATTAACATATTGGTTATTGCATATTAATATTAACATATTATAATATTAACTATTCTACATCCCTACATCCCTGGTCCTACCCAATACTAACAACTACCTCACTAACTATTAATAAACAGCAAATTAGGAGCTTATTAACTGAAAAATGAGTGTTTACTATTGTCACTTTGCATTATTGACACACTATTTTCCTAATTAATGTTGTACAGTTGTTTTGACACAATCTGTATTGTTAAAAGCGCTATATAAATAAAGGTGACTTGACTTGACTTATTGAAGCACAAGTCATAGGTAATGGTTTGTTAATAGCGAGAACTGGACCTTAAAATAAAGTGTCACCATGTTGACTACAACAAAGGGTAACACTTTATTTTAAGGTGTCGTTGTTACATGTTACATGTAGCCTACTATTAAACTTATATTACTGTTAGTTACTGTTAATATACGGTTACTATTAAAATAATAATAATTTATGCATAATTAGCCTACATGCAAGTAACCCTAATCCTAACCCTAACCATATAGTAAGTACATGTAGTTAATTAATATTACTCAGTACTTAAATGTATAATTAACAAGGGCACCTTAAAATAAAGTGCAACCCAAAAAAGCCGTTTCACCGTTACTGGCCAAGATACAGTATATATTTTTTTACAGCTATAACAATGGAATCTGCTGTCCGTTAACTCTTTAACTTTTTTTTCTCTTAAGTACAAAAGCTATCTTCCACAAAATCGTAATGGTGCTACAGCAAAATGTAAACAATGACATAATTATGGAGCAAAGGCAATTAATAAAACAGCCAATGTGGAAAAAAGCCAACAAAATTGAAAGCTGTAACATTTTATTTTACAGTGTCCTCTGTTGCACGTACCTACTAAGGTAACAACTGTAAATTATGCATAATTACAAGTAACTAATCTCAAACCTGACCCTAAACCTATAATAAGTACAGTTTGCAAGGTAATATTATGCACTGCTTATTTGTACATCAGCGACATCTTAAAATTAAGTGTAACCAATAAAGCTACTGTGTAGGCAAAATTCGAATTATTAAACAAAATAATATTACTATAAAACATGTGAAAACTGACATATCAGCCTTTCAGTTTCAATGTAAATTGTAATGATGACCTTTGTTGAAATGTAGTGAAATGTTGATGAAATGTACTGAAATGTAGTGTTTTGTGTTCACTTGTTTAATCACCAGCTATTAATGATTTATGAATTATACTTAAATAAAATGCTGCAGTAGTTACTGAGATAAAGCCTATGTGACAACTTATTCATGTGACAACCAGCTTTGGTCTTTTTATGCTTTTGTTTTTACTTATAACATCTTTATCCAGTGAAAAGGTCATGACATGTCTAATACACTGCTAAAATATCAGACAGTCAAGTATGCTTTACTTCTGTCTCTGCAGGATAAAATGTCTGCTCTTCGTAAGAAATTTGGAAGCGACTATCAGGTAGTGACCACCACATCTTCCAGCCATCAGAAAGACAAGAGGAGGAAACGACAGCGATTTGTCGACAAGAACGGACGATGCAACGTCCAGCATGGAAACCTAGGTGGGGAGACCAGCAGATATCTCTCAGACTTATTCACAACTCTAGTAGACCTCAAATGGCGATGGAACCTCTTCATCTTCATCCTCACATACACAGTAGCCTGGTTATTCATGGCTTCGATGTGGTGGGTCATCGCATACATCAGAGGCGACCTGTACCGAACCCATGATGAGAAGTACACACCATGCGTGGCCAACGTCTATAACTTTCCCTCTGCTTTCCTGTTCTTCATTGAGACAGAGGCCACTATAGGATATGGCCACAGATACATCACTGAAAAATGTCCAGAAGGAATCATTCTCTTCCTGTTTCAGTCCATCTTGGGCTCCATAGTGGATGCCTTTTTAATAGGCTGTATGTTTATTAAGATGTCTCAACCCAAGAAGAGGGCAGAGACTCTGATGTTTAGTGAAAACGCAGCCATCTCCATGCGCGACGGCAAACTCACGCTGATGTTCAGGGTGGGAAATCTGCGCAACAGCCACATGGTTTCAGCCCAGATCCGGTGTAAATTACTCAAGGTAAGGGTCTGCTTTTTGTCCACTTATAGAGTTTATGGGTTACACTACATTTTTCAAGTGTCCTTGTTACAGTGTAAATATACATTTAAGTACTGAGTAATATCAATTAACTACATGCACTTGTATGGTTAGGATGGTGGTTTGGTTTATGTGTGCTAATAGGTCTAACATGGATAATATATAAAATATTGTGTTTTCAATACTTATTTACATTTACATACAAATTATTAAAGGGATAGTCCACCCCAAAATGAAAATTATGTTATCATTTAACCACCCTCATGATGTTCAAAACCTGTCAAGTCCATTTATTTATTTAGCGCCTTATACAATACAGAATGTTTCAAAGCAACTTCACAGCAGCATAACAGTATTAATGTTGAAAAGTTATTCAATTATAAATTGAATACAGTTCAGCTGTAAAGCAACTAAAAAAGACAATAGTGTCATTATTCAGCTTAATTTAGGTCCTGTAACGTGCAACTTGTGTGACTTTCTTCTGTGGAACATAACACACGATATTTTGAAGAACAGTTTCGGTACCTATTCTCTTTCATTGTATTTTCTTGTTTAACTATGGATGTCAATAGGAACCTAAACTGTTTGGTTACTAACATTCTTCAAAATATATTTTGTTATGCTCCATAAAGGGAAAAATGTCATATAGGTTTGGAGCAACATGAGTGTGAGTAAATTATGATATATTTAAATTTTTGGGGGGGCATATGTTTCAAAACATTTATACCTACCATTGCTTTCTACAGCTGCTAAACTTTATTAATATTATTACTGTTGTAGCTACACTCTTAAAAATAAAGGTGCTTCAAAAGGTTCTTCAAGCGATGCCATAGAAGAACCATTTTTGGTTCCACAAAGAACCATTCAGTCAAAGGTTCTTTAAAGAATCATCTCTTTCTTACCTTTTTGTAATCTGAAGAACCTTCTTTCGCCACAAAGAACCTTTTGTGAAACAGAAAGGTTCTTCAGATGTTAAAGGTACTTTATGGAACCATTTAGACAAAAATGTTCTTCTATGTCATTGTGAAGCACCTTTATTTTTAAGGGTGTAGGCCTATATTATTTACATGAAATACGTGTAACATGGGCACTGTAATGGAAAGTGTTACCCTGCCCTCTGTTGTTCATTAACAGACTCAGCCAGTGCTTGGTTGTCAATCATGACATTCTCTCATTTAATTAAAAAATGTTAAAGATGTCAATTAGAACAGCATAAGAGACTGTTGAAAATAGGTTTGCAATCCCTATTGCTGCCATGTTTCAGTGTAGGCCTATATTTTGGCATGCTGGCCAGAAATGCTTGCAGAGATTCTTGCTGCATACTGTCTTGGTAAATTGTGATCGGTATAAAAAAATTGCATTGATTTCTTTATTGTATTCTTTGAGCTTTAATTTGATGTCTTACCTGTCTGTCTTTTGATGCCTGACTGTCTATCCTCACAGCTCAATTCACCGTACAGTGTCTAAAGCAATTTTTACGCCCCATCTCCCCTCTTTTCACTCCTGCAGTCCCGACAGACGCCCGAGGGTGAGTTCCTCCCCCTGGATCAGCTGGAGCTGGATGTGGGCTTTAGCACCGGAGCGGACCAACTCTTTCTCGTGTCACCACTCACAATCTGTCATGTGATCGACACCAAGAGCCCCTTCTACGAGCTCTCACAGCGATCCATGCAGACAGAGCAGTTCGAAATAGTCGTGATTTTGGAGGGTATTGTTGAAACGACTGGTAAGTTATTCTGTCTGCTATTTTTAATCATGCATTGCCTTAAGCCTGGATTGCAGAATTGGTTACACTTTATTTTAGGGTCCCCTATCTAGTTGCTTATTAGCATGCATATTACTAGAATATTAGCCATTTATTAGTACTAATTAAGCACATATGAATGCCTTATTCTACATGACCTTATTCTACATCCCTATCCTACCTAATACCTAAACTTAAAGGGATAGTTCACCCAAAAATGAATTTATTTATCTGCTTACCCCCAGGGCATCCAAGATGTAGATAACTTTGTTTCTTCAGTAGAACACAAATTATGATTTCTAACTCCAACCGTTGCAGTCTGTCAGTCGTATAATGCATGGCAATTGTAACAAAATTTATGAGAGTAAAAAAAAACATGCACAGACAAATCCAAATTAAACCCTGCGGCTCGTGACGACACATTTATACGATTATAGGGGTGCATATGAACAAATGAGACACGAAACGATCGGTTTGTGCGAGAAACCGAACAGTATTTATATCATTTTTTACCTCTAATACACCACTATGTCCAATAATTTTTTTTGCCCAAGCGTATTTATTTGAACCAGAATACTCAGATCAAGAACTCAGAGATATGGAGGAAGCATCTGCTGCAGCAGCACGTCTTCAAGCCTCAGAGAGACAGAGATCTCTTCAAAAGTGGTGGTGTTCTTGTAGTAAGTGTTGTGAGATGCCAACAGAAGTGGAGAGCATCTGTTGTCACGAATGGAATATAGCAATGCCACAACTACAAGATGCCGACAAGGACATTGCCGAGGGTATCCCATCACACACCTGCCTGACTGAAGATCCAGACTTTTCTCCGCTGTTGAGCCGCAGCGTTTTGCACGTTGTGTTTAGCTTGCCACGTATAAACTGGAGGCGACGTCCAAGGCCAGAGGGACTCAATGGCAAGCTGTCAATAGAGTGAGTAATGTGTTGTATTTGTAATTTTATTGCAACGATTATAGGGGTGCATATGAACAAATGAGTTGGATTAAAAAATCCGGATAAGCGCAAGTAAGTACCATTTTGATTAGCCATCCTACAATGTTTGTGCACTGTGCAAACAATGAGTAACGTATACGCGCGAGAGATCACTTCCGGCGTTTGCGTAAACTACGCCAGAGCGCGTACACACCTCACGCACCGGATGGCGTGCGCGCGCTCAAGGCAGTTGGACATAGTGGTGTATTAGAGGGAAAAAATTATATAAATACTGTTCGGTTTCTGGCACAAACCGATCGTTTCGTGTCTTAGGACATCAATGTGTCATCACGAGCCGCAGGGTTTAATTTGGATTTGTCTGTGCATGTTTTTTTTACTCTCATAGATTTTGTTACAATTGCCATGCATTATACGACTGACAGACTGCAATGGATGGAGTTAAAAATCATAATTTGTGTTCTACTGAAAAAACAAAGTCACCTACATCTTGGATGCCCTGGGGGTAAGCAGATAAACATCAAATTTTCATTTTTGGGTGAACTATCCCTTTAACAACTACCTTCCTAATAATTAATAAGCAGCAAATTAGGAATGTATTGAGGGAAAAGTCGTAGATAATAGTGAATAAGTGTTCCCTATTCTAAAGTGTTACTAAAGTATTATTTTGATGTTGGAAAGTTACAGGAATGGTTTTAGTTTTAGAATTTTCTGACGATTTACTCACTCTCAGGCCATCCAAGATGTAGATGAGTTTGTTTCTTCATCGGAACAGATTTGGAGAAATTTAACATTACATCACACCAATGGATCCTCTGCAGTGAATGGCTGATAAAAAAAATATATAAAAAACCATCACAATAATCCAGAAGTAATCCACACCACTTCAGTACAGTTAACATCTTGTGAAGCGGAAAGCTGCAGGTTTGTAAAGAACAAATATGTATTTAACTTCAAACCTTTTTAACTTCAAATTTAAATTGAAACTGAATCAGGAGATACATATGCAAAGATCAAGAACTGTTTACAAGCAGCAGTGCAAAACAATTCTAAACAAATAACCAGTGGATTTTAATGTGAGAAGACAACAGGGGATGGACTTCACATTATTCTGAATTATGGACTGATATTTTGGCCAGAAGAGACTAGCTATTAACTATGACTTTTGCCTCAATTAACTCCTAATTTGCTGTTTATTAATAGTTAGTAATGTAGTTGTCAAGTTTAGGTACACTATAGGTAGGATTAAGGGATCTTATATATGGTTATGCAGAATAAGGCATTAACATGTGCTTTATAAATAATAATAAACAGCCAATATGCTAGATTATATCAGCTGTTTGGACTCTCATTCTGATGGCAACCAGAGCATCCATTGTTGACCAAGTACTACATTTCTCAAAATCTGTTCTGATGAAGAAACAAACTCATCGATATCTTGGATGGTGTAGCAAATTAGCTCAAAATTGAAATGTATATAAATAATTGCAATTAATTATAATTAATTACAATTATTTATATCAGCTGACAGTAGTAACTGTAGCAGAATTAATTGCCATCAACTAATCTGTTCGTCCAGCGAACATTCAGTGTAAGTTCATATCAACTCTTAAGAAAGGATATTTTCGTGACCACAGAAAATATCTTTCCTTCAGTATTAATGCATTAGAGCTTGTAGCTGGATCAGAATCATAAAGGGACATTATTCACAAGCAGGACCAGAAACTAATGTAATTTGTGCACACAAGTTTTATTAACTAAACGCTAACACACTGTAAGGGAAACAGTGATAATTTAGCTCAAAGGGAATCATTTAAGATTTTAAAGGGAACTCCACCATTAATATGCAAGGGAATTAGGACAGAATCACTGTTTTACGTAATCTAAACAAACAAACATACAATCACTCATACTAGAGCTGCACGATTCTGGATACATTGAGAATCACAATTTTTTTGTCTCAAATAGAGATCACGATTCTCCCACGATTCTGAACTAAACAAAATAATGTGTGACAAAATATTATTGCTGCAGTCTATTTGAAAGTGTTTAATTAATTTGAATGAATGAATGAATGAATGATGCATTTATGTAGCGAGTTATTGTGTATTGCCTAACTGCGCGTGCAGTGAGAAGATTTGTGCGTGCACTCAACTGCAAACCGCCTCAGAACGCGCGCAAATATTAAGCTCTCTCTGAAGTATTGTGTTTAAATGGACAAATTCACACAGACATTATGTCAAAATGGCCATCTTGGTAAGTATCCTATTGCAGACATAGCCGGCTGAACGTACTGGATCAGTGCATTCTCTTAAAGTGACAGCACTTTCTTAATGTTAATCAAACGAATTAATCTTTAATTTATACAGTCAAATATGCAATGCTGTTTTATATTTCATTACTTTATTGAATTTCTGTACCTAAAAAACTAATGTTAGACCTACCTAAAAAAAAAAAACAGAAAATCACTGTTTATTCTATTTGTATTTTTACTCTATCATATTTATTTGTGCTGTTGCTTGTAGTTAGATAGATGATTCTTATTTTCTTAATTTTTATCTGACAGTATAGTTTTTGCCTAAACATAGCACATACCGAACCATACCGAAACCGTGACTCTAAAACCGTGATACAAACCGAACCGTGAGTAAGTTGAACCGCTGACTAACACCAACACTAGCACTAACACCTCTTTCAACAGCAACCTAGTTTTCCCAGGAGGACTCCCATCCAGGTACTGACCAGGCTGAACTAATTATTAAACATTTTAATACACACTACCAGTCAAAAGTTTTTGAACAGTAAGCTTTTTAATGTTTTTTTAAATAATTATCTTCTGCTCACCAATGCCTCCTGCATTTATTTGATCCAAAATACAGCAAAATTTGTAATATTGTGAAATATTTTTACAATTTAAAATAACTGCTTTCTATTTGAATATATTTCAAAATGTAATTTCAGAATATCAGAATGATTTCTGAAGGATCATGTGACTGGAGTAATGATGCAAAAAAATTTGCTTTAAAATCACAGGAATAAATTACATTTTGAAATATATTCAAATAGAAAGCAGTTATTTTAAATTTCACTGTTTTTACTGTACTTTGGATCAAATAAATGCAGGCTTGGTGAGCAGAAGAGACTTCTTTAAAAAACATAAAAAAACTTTTGACTGGTAGTGTACATATAATATATTTAATACACCAATTTTTTATATTAAAATTATGAAAAAGGTCGTTTGAATTAATGATTCAACGACTCATTCATACTATTTCTATACTATACTACTATACTACTAAAAAACTGTGTTATCAGCATTGGTTGCCATGGAACCAGAGGCCTGTTCTGCCTTTTTGAGGCGTTAACCGCATTTCGGGGAAGGGTCCATAGACCCTCATAGTTGGCTTGCTGACTGAGGCGTGTTACGGAGTATTTTTTAAATATAACAAAACAATGTGTCTGATTGGTCCAGACTCTACAATGGACCGAGGGTGAGTTAATTTTCAGCAAGCTTTCATTTTTGGGTGAAATATTCCTTTAAGAAATGGTGCCGGGAAAAGAGACATTGTACTATTTATTCATTTAGAAAGACTACCACATCCTGTTAAGGCGACTTACTAAAACAGAAGTCATGGGGTATCTCACTGGCCTTGAAGTGCACATAATTGATTGTGTAATATCGATCAGCAATGAAGTGTAATTGTAAACATGCTGTTTGGGGAGGTTGGTAAAACCAGTATGTTGTCAGTGTATATCCCTTAGGATAAAAAGCAACATTTAAAAATATCTTATAATCTTTTTTATAAAGCTCTTTTTAACACAGAGCTCTTTTTTATAATCATATTCTATTTATTATAGATACGTTTCATTTTAGAATATGATCAAGCATAAAATAGTCTTGTTGGATGTTTGGCGGTGGAAATATCACTTCGGTTGGCCGGTTTTCATCTAACAATGTATATTAGTGCTATTCATTGCCATTTTGTCAACAACTCACAGGAAGTCTAACTACTCTTTTCCAATTTATTTCAATATCTTCCTTCAAGACTTGTTGGTAATTTGGCTTTAGATATATTAAACAGTGGGCATAATCACATAACAAACTACCGTACAAAGAGAGTATAGAGGCAGTTAGAATGGCCTTTAACCCAGTTTCTGGTTCAACAAAACAGACAGCCCCATCCCAAACTCACAAGTTCCATCATTACCAACAGTTTACCCATTTGATGTTTCCAGAAACCATAACATTGCAAACAGCATTGCAAAGTTGCATGGATGGAACTACAACGCTGCCTCTGTTTTTAGAAGCATAGTTTCTGGTAGACAAAAACAGTACACATAGATTAATACAAAAAAGCAATATAGAGAAAGTAGTAACTGGTAATTAGAATTAGACGCCAAGAGGAAATTCCAAGTCTGGACTTGTAAATATTGTTCAACCTGCTATGAAATAAGTCACCGAAGTCCATCACTTTCTTTCCTGCATTTCTGCTGGAGACTCATGTGGCATGAGCACAATACAACGTTAATAACTGATGAACAGTGTAAGTACAGAATCCCAAGACTCTCCAGTTTTCTGGTGACTGTAAAACTGTTTCTATGGCAACCCACTTTGAACCCCTCCCCTCCTCCTTTATGTTTCCATGCAGCCTTTGAACGTATGATTATTATGAAGCCCTGAAAAGTGTGTGCAAAGCACTTTTTCCTCAGACAGACAGAGCTAACAGAGGGAGAGGACATGCATCAGATAGAGCACAAAAAGAGGCAGAGAGTGCAAAAGTCTGCCTTGATTTTGGGTTCCTGTTAAACAGCTCAGGGATACAGAAAATAGGGAAGACTATTGGAAGTTTATTTTGGAAGTATTGGAACTATTGGAAGTTTGTTTCATATTAGTAGTTTCTATGGTCTGAACAGAATAAACTCTCAACCTAAAAAGAAGTACATTATTTCAAAACGGACAAATATCCAGTATTGGCAGTTTACCAGATGACTGAAGCAGTCTCATTTCTGTTCGCCTTCAGCGTTCTTTAGAGCATTTGCAATACATTCCTAAGACAGACATAAGTGCCGTTATGCACTGAAGCTTTGTAAACAAAACGAACGTTTCAAAAACGTAAATATATAAAAGTGCAGAGAGCAATGTTATGTGCCGCCTTCTCCTGCGCTGTCGTTACTAAGCAACGGGGTAAATTCACATGCATTAAAACAATAAATAAAATCACGCGCCACAAAAGAAAAAAAGACAATTAAAAAATCTAATAAAAAAGTAAATAAATAAATACACATCCTCAAAAACGTATGTAAATATACACAAAAGCAGCTCACATGCACAAAATAATATATTTCACGCGTAAAACAATTCACAGATGTACAACTGTGCACTAAAAGGTTTGAATGTTTAAAATTGTTTATTACAATTATAATGTTTATTACTGAATCTGAATTTGCGTGAACTACCTTGGATTTGTGTTTTTTTTTCTTCTTCCTCACGTGATTTTTTATTTTATTTTTAATTTTTTTAGTGAACATGAATATGTAAACTCTACATTCTCAGCTATCTATTAGCATTTGAAACTTTACAGAGGAACACACATATGTAACGAATCAGCTCATGGGAAATATGAATAATTAATCATAACTAGTTATAATTAATTATGAATATTTTAGATCCGCTGTAGATATTTAGCTGACCTCTCAGGGTCAACTGTCTTGTCAATTCTAAGAACGTTAATTTCCTGGTTAAAGGAAATAACTTTCTTACTGTACAATTCTACAAAAGCTTGTAGCATAAATCTGCATGATTAAGTGACTCCAGTTATGAGCAAACAATGAACCACGTCAAGTGTGATACAAGTAAGGTTTTATTAACTACATAAACACTTAAACTAGTCTAACATACTACATAAACACAAACTCACACACATACAGTTGGTATAGGAAAGGGTACAGAGAAGAGAAATAAGGAATGAAATTATATTAGCAAAGAAAAGTCCTTCCCTTGTGGATTTTCCTTATGGGCAAGGAAGCGATTTTCTTCACTTAAATTCCAGGAGGTCGTAAATGTATCGGGTGTCAGGGTTGCCATGGAACCAGGGGCCTGTTGGGCTTCCTGGGGTGTTACAGAGTATTTGTTAAATCTAGCTAACAAAATATATATTGTGTGTTTGAGTGGTCCAGACGCTACACATATCATCCTTCATTAGCAGGTTAATATTGTTTTAATAGTCCCATCTTCACATGGCATGTCACAGATAACTCATGGTCTGTTCACCGAATCATTCATAGAAAACTTGCCTGAAATCACAAATTCAGGTTAATCTGAACTTCTGTGAAGAACTACTTATCATACTGTAAAAACCTTATTTTGTTGTTGTTTACAGGTAACTTAGAAATGTACCTCATTTAACTGATTTAATGATACAGGGCATGATGCACATTTTAGCCTCAATAAACTGCTAAAATACTGCCAAATACATAGACTCACTGTTTGAACAGTTCCCTTTCATGGGAACTTCGAACTGCGTCCTCTAGGGGTAAGTAACCCGAGACGTTTTTATTAAAAGTGATCTAAGTAAATTGGTCCCAGAGATGAAAAAAACTGTAAAATATGTGGTAGCTATAAAGAATACAGTACTTTTTATGAATTAATGTTTTACTAAATTAAGAGTCAGTTCAGAAGGCTGTGTCAGAAAGTCTGTTCCGGTGTAGTGCCAAAATTTGCACCCTGCCAGATTATGCACCCCGTATTGGTGGGTTTAATGAGTAGGTTTGGGGGAGGGGTTAGGATTATGATTAGGGGTGGGGTTGGGATTGGGATTAGGCAATCAGGTAGCGACTTCAACGAGGGGGTGCATAATCTGGCTGGGGTGCAGAATTCGGCACAACACCAGAACCAATATCACACAGCCGTTTCCATACGGACTTTAAAACTATCATGGCTCACAGACTGTTGTGAACACTGCTGCGCTCCAATACCTATGTTTGCGTTGTGTGTTTATGCACAAGATGTAAGTTATAATGCTTGATATTGTTTCTGTAGTGTTTTATGTTTATCCTAATGCATGCTTGATGATCCGCAAATGTTTACTTATGCAAATTAACGATCGGAGTGTAATTGCTGAGTCATGCTATTATATTTGCCTAACGAGCTAACGAGCATGAGCGGACTATTTACACATGTAAATCTGGGTATTTAACACCACTAACATGATGTGAGGTTGAGATAATATATTTAAGAATGTTTCTTTATGGCTTCCACTTGATACTTACATCTATATTTCAATAATTGAGTGTATATTTGTTACTATGGTTCCGGTTTTAGTTATTTGCATTGTGTAAATCTGCACTCAATAATTCCCATTCTACATTGTAATTGCATTGTATTATTTGTTGTTATAGGCCACAACATAACGGGTACTCTACCACAATGTGCCTTATATAATTTATTGGATGTTACTTCTGGTCTGGAATAAATGGCAGTGTTATTGGAGACACACTCATCCCGTGCATGATTCTTTAACTGGAGTCAATCCATGTTTGCACACTATGATACCAGACATTGAGTAAATGTTGGGAGGTGCTACCTAACATAAATTGGTCCTTCGAGTCGGATCATATCAACCAAAGCATCATGAATACTGCAGATAGTAATGCATCAGAGGCTACAGTTCGACCCAAAATACATACTAAACTGCCTTCCCACCTGGATGAAAATGAGGTTGGCTATCTACCCCTTGTAGACCCTCCTCCAACCGCTTCCTCACGCTGTCACAGCCGACACAAGAGCCAGTCGAGGAGAACGTCCCATAGCAAAGCCAGTTCTGATTCCAGTCGTTCCAGTGTCTCGGGCGCTCATGTTGCATCCGCACTCACAAGCAGGCAGGCAGCCATAGTGGAGGAGAGAATCCAGCAGCGGCAGTATGACAACCTACTTCAGCAGATAGAGGAGGACACGCTGGCAGAAATAGAGTATCAGAGACTGCAAACCCAAGCTAAAGAAGCTCAACATGTTCAGGAAGAGGCTTTCATTGCAAAAGAAGCACTAGCTAACCAGTTAGAAAGATGATGCAAGCTTAAAAAGGCAGAAACTAACCAAGAAGTAGCCAAACTGGTGAATTCTCTGCTCAGCCAAGACTTACGTGTGGACGAAGCAGATCCCGAAGGATCCCCAGACACAACCGTGCCACCACCACAGCTACTTCATGCCAGGCCAGCCCAGTCTCCTGTTGCTCAGCAATCTCCCTGCACCTCATCTTCCATGATGCAAGCCACGCAGACTATTCCAGAGGTACAGAGCACATTAAGGAACCCACGCATAGTTCAGTCAACACCCAAAACACCTCCATTGACATTACCAGCAACTATGTCAGCACAAGTTCCAGCTCACGCTGCACAATTGTCCACATGTGCAGTCACTCAAGTACAAGGGAGACCACAAGACGCACATTCTGGGGAGAATATTTCACCTGTCTCGCAGCAGCCCAGCCCAGTCTCAATGCCACTACCCCCATTCAACCCTGTGCAACCAGCAGCAGCTGAACTTGTGACACCACACTCAGAAAGTGCTCTGATCTCGCAGACTGTACCTCCTATTGCACCCATTGCATTGACCTCACATGTGAATACTTTTTTTACCAGGTCAAGTAGCCCCCCTTATGGGTCAGACTCAGCCCATTCCGACCACTCATCCGAGAGTGACACTCTCATCTAACACACCCATCTTCCCTCAACCTTATCCACCTCTACCTGTTCCTCAAGCTGGTTACGTACCTCAGCCCGGGACAGAGCTTCGGATGGCAGCAGCCTACGGCATCCCTTGCCCCACACTATCAGTGTTTGAGAGTGGCACCGAAAGCGACTTTGCCTTGTTGAAACTGGCCTTAGACAATCTTTTAAGTCACCGTACTCACATCAGCGAGCAGTACAAATATCAAGTGTTGCTGAGTCATCTGAAGTTTGCTAGTGCCCAACAACTGGCTAAAGCATATATGCACCACCCACAACCATACACCGAAGCTACTCAGAATGGGTGATTCCAATGCCTTTGACTCGTTTGCCTTATCTGTCCAGTCCCTGGTAGGCATGCTGAAAACACTGGAAGGTCAGAACGGGTATGAGCTCATGTGTGGTTATCACGTAGACCGCCTTCTGTGTAAACTGCCACCTGCTTGCCAAGACAGCTTTGTAGAGTACTGCTTGAGCCATGGAATTCATCAAATTGTTACAGATAGAACCTATACTCTACCCGACTTAGCAGCCTGGTTACAAACAAAGTCACAAGCTAAGCGTATCTCTAGCCGAGCAGCAGCTATGTTTCAGTCCGATGCAACAAAGTCATCTGGGAACAGTAAAGGCACTCCATATAATCGAGAGAGTTCAACACCTTTACTTCTGACATCAGAGAAATCTGTCAAGCCTTCTGCACCGGCACAGGTGAAAGTCATCTCCAAGCCAAAGCCCTATGGTCCTTATTGCAACAACCGAGATCACTATCTCAACTCCTGTGATAAATTCAAGAGGCTAACCACCGCTCCGATCATCACCTGGATCGCAGAGGGCAAATGTTGTTGGAAGTGTGGTAGGAATCATTCAGCTGACTCCTGTAACCTCAAGCGACCGTGTAAAGTCTGCAAAGAGCTTCACCTTACCGTGCTGCATGACTCAATTAACGACACCTCCAGAGCAGTGCTTATGGTGAGTTCGCCATCAGCACAGATCTATCTTGATAGATCCAACCGCTCACAGAAAGTCATGCTTAAAGTTGTCAGAGTTCTCTTGCACAATGTTGACCAAACAATGGAAGCTCACGCTGTCCTAGATGACGCCTCTGAAAGAACTATCGTCCTTCCTCAAGTGGTTCACGCCAGTTCAGCCAGTGCGCAGAGGAGCAGAGGGCGGCCCCGTTGCCATATGTACCAAGCTTGGTTGGGTACTGCAAGGCCCAATGTGTCCGATTCAGCCCCCTAAAGGCCTGCAGCAATGTCTGCATATTATGACAGCCCCAGCATGTGACAAGCTGTATCAGCATGTGGAGCACTTGTGGCAAATTTACACCGTTCCATACAATGAGAAGGTGATCACAAGATCAAAACAAGACAAACCATGCTATAACCTTTTGCAGACTGCCACTGTCAGAGTGAATGTGGACAGTGTCCAGAGGTATGCTACCCCACTGCTAAGACGTACCCCTATCACTTTGCTCCACGCAGACATGGACATGCTCCCCAGTCTCAGAAACATTGAGCGAAAACTGGCCAAGAATACTGGGCAAGTGCAAGTTTACTGCTCTGAGATTCAAAAGCTTGAATCAGTGGGCTACATTGCTAAGATAGCACCAGAGGAGGCAGACAAGTCCACAGAGTCATGATTCATTCCGCACCACATGAATAATATTCAACTGTTTCGTCTTCAACCAGTAACATGGTCAGAGCTTGAATGAACAACTCCTTCCTGGGCCAACACTTGGGCCATTTCTGTTGGGCGTGATATTGAGGTTCCGGCAACATGCAGTCGCAGTGAGTGGGGACATAAAAGGCATGTTCCACCAAGTACGTCTGTTACGTGTTGACAAGTCAGTGCTGCGATTCATCTGGCGGAACATGACCAGGGAAGCTGACCCAGACATCTACGAGTGGCAGGTAGTTACCTTTGGTACGACCTGCAGCCCGTGCTGCGCTATTTATGCCCTTCAACATCATGCCCAAGAACACAGAGACACCATGGTTGGCTTAGCTGACATTGTGGAGACCTCATTCTATGTTGACAACTGCCTTCACAGTACCCCCGATCAAGGTGAGGCTAAAGCCATTATAGATGGATTGCATCAGTCCTTGCTACAGGGAGGCTTTGAGATCTGACAGTGGGCATCCAATGTGCCATCCGTCCTCAGGCACCTCCCATCGGAACCCAGATCAGCTAGTAGCGAGTGCTGGTTGTCTCAGAGTAGCACAGACCTGCAAGAATTTACTCTCGGCCTACAATGGAATTGCCTCGACGACACCCTTGGCTATAGAAACCGCATAGCAGAGCCTGTTCAGCCCACCATGAGGAACCTGTATAAGACTTTGGCAAGCCAATATGACCCCTTGGGTTTCATCATACCCTTCACCACGAGGGTGAAGACTCTTATCCAGGATCTCTGGAAACACAACCTCAGCTGGGATGACCCTATTGAACCCCTACATATGTGTGAGAAATGGTCCATATGGGTTGCAGAGCTTTCCGGTATCACCGAACTACAATTCCCTCAACCTTATGCTCCTGGCAAGTCCGACACTCCTTCCACCGTTAGGGAGTTATATGTCTTTTGTGATGCCTCAGAGAGGGTATATGGTTATGTGGCCTACAGAACCATGTGTCTTCTGGCTTCGCTATCGTTCGGACATTCTTGCTTACTGCTCTGCGCTTTGCTTCTTATTTCTGTACTTTTCTCAGATTTTTACTTCAACAGATCAGTACAGTGATCAAACAACACATTTTTGGCACAAACACTAAAACTAAAAACTGGGTAATTTGGGACTGGAGTAATACCACGAAAAAGAAGACTTTGACTCCCACTGCCAGCAGCTTACATTCTGGAGATGGAAAAAGACAGCTGCCCACATTCAAACAGAAGAGAAAGAAAATGCCTCCTTTTGAATCTACTTGCTGCATGTACTGCTGCAAACTTCTACAAAGGATTGCGGTTCTTGAAACAAAGTTACTTGCTGGACTTCCAAAACAGGCAGAACACTCAGCAGACCATCGTCACGGACCCCCTCAGCATACAGCCGGTGAGTCCCATGAATCTAGTGAATCTCAACAGTATACCAAGTGTAGAGGAACAAGATGAAACTGATTGTCACACTAATCGATGGCACAAACAGGGAGCGAGACCCAAAGGCAGTAGAGACATTAGATTGTCACGAGTTTCTCGTATTGCTGCCGTAGCATCCTCTACCCCAGATACGGCTATGCCAAGGCTTGTGAATACTGGTATTCTACCACCCCCTAAACATCTTG